TCCGGATGTAAGTCCCAACAACTGAATTTTGGAACTGAAACTGAACGGTGAGAAGTGAATCTGAAATTATTCGAGAACTAAATTTTTAAAGGATAAAATACAGTTTCAAAGCAAATGAATTCATTTTCAAAATATAAAATTCAATTTTAATTTAGTGATGATTATTTTCAAACCAATACATTTAATTTCAAATTAGGATAATTCATATTCAATTTTTAAAAGCATTTATTCAAGTTACAATTCAAATTCAAATTTAACTTAAATTCAAATTCAGTTTCTGATGGCACAGATTTCTGCCCATAACTTTCCTCGAATTGGCCACTCGTTGAAACTGAAGGTTAGATGGGACTGCAGTATGAAACCTGAGCTTTTGTCTCGTAGGGCAAACGTGTACATAACCGAACCCATTTTCCAAACTTGATGTTAATATCATCACAGTGTTTAGTTATTTTATAATACATTATTTTAGATTCTTTTTAGTTTAGTTCCTTTTCTGTCTTTAGTTAGGTTTACACAACTATGTTCATTCTAGAAACAAATCCCGGTACATGGTTAGTATGGTTGAAGTGACCCTTCTAACACATTATGTTATAGTCATGTGGTCTAATTTCCACTTTGCTGAGCTGTGAAAACAAACGTTCCCCAGAGAACCAAGAGATTTTATAATACAATCCTCTTAAATATATATATATCTATTTTTCACTTGGAGGAGAAAAGTAGCTTTTTCACATTTTGTTATTAGACTGGGCCGCCGGGGAAGCAACAGACCATAAATATTACATATTACATATTACAAAATGCAAAAAGGAGCCTTGAGTGTTAAACCCATATTACTCCAAAGGTTTTAGTTGTCTAGCTGACTATCCCGATTCCTCTGCTGACACCCTTCACCAACTTCATCACCCTTAATCACAGCTGTAAAAATCCCACAGGGTGCCGTAATCACACACGGCAGGTCAGCCGCAGTATTAAAAGGAGACAGCAAGGAGACTTGTAACTGAAGAACTGTGGTTTCTCTGTTAGATGTGTTATATGTGACAGCAAGCCCAATCTTCAGGGTGAGCTGAACAGCCAAGGGTCATTAAACCGCTGCTTTTCTTTCCTAATGCTACGAGCCAGAGCGATGCTATCTGAAACCTCATTCTCACACACGGTAGAATCTCGACACGTCTTCATCAGGACCAATTAAAGTCTACATGTCAATGTTTGACCCATCTCAGCTTCCACTAAGGCTTCTTCTTGTCAGCACTTACTATTTCTTTGTTCTAGTCTGTTCATGTATTCGTTCAATCACAGAGGTCTGCTTGATGTGCTCTTAGTCTACTCCTGGTGATTTACAGAGCACATTGTGGCAAGAATATGTGAAATAGGACAGGGGAGGAAGCAAAGAAGCAGAGGATGGAGGATCAAGTAGTGAGGAAAACGCCAGCCAAAGATATCACTGAGCTCTGGCAAGAAACGGGGAATTCGTTTGGGTTTGTGTCACAATCAACTGACTTTCCCTACAAAACAGAAGTTGAAAATTTGATAGGGGGCTTCAGTTTGAAGGAACAGTTTGTTTCATCCTCGTAAGAAGTTGTTTTTCTTGCTTTCCTGCTCATACGACTCCTTTCACTTAATAACTGTTGAACGGTCTTTATTCTCCTGAAATGGGAGTGATAATGAACGAATAATAACAGAAGGAAGCTCTGCCTTCAAGCGCACACAGACAAACTTTCACTACAGCAGAAGTGACCTGTTAGGATTACA